TCAAACATACATGTGCAAGCACCACATTGTTTCTCTAGTGTAAAACTTGAAAGAGTTAATTTAAACTCGGAGGTATGATAGACACTGTGAAATGATAGGAAACCACTGAAGAGTAAAGGGCAACTGGGATGTGGGAAAAGAGAAGGAGAGAAGGAGAAATTTTGTATGTATGTATATACAGGATGGTTAACATGGTTGTTCTTCTGTCTTCTATTTCTATGCTGAAAGAAACTGTCAGTGAGTCTTTGGTTGACCAGTATTGCATGTCTATATCTGTTTTCATGAGAAGCCACTTTGAAGATATCAGTATGTAATACAACAACCATTGTTAATTCCCTACCACTTTGTTTGTAACTCTGTATTGTCTGTACTGTGCTTGTGATATGTTGTAAAATATTGTACATCTGTTAGTTTCCCCCCTTTATCTTTAAAATAAAAATAAAAAAAAATGGGTGTGCAGATGTCTGTGTATATGTGGACTTGGATTCCTTCACGTGTGAAGTGAGCAGTGGTATTGACACAGGATGTGTTCTCTGAGCCTCATGGTTCAGTATTTATATGATTCTGTCACATAGGCATAGTTCTTACTAACTCCACTCCCAGCCCTCTCTCTGCTGAGCAAATGGGAGAGGGCCGAGGCCAAGCCCCTTGTCATGGTGTGGTCCTTCTGCAGACCATCCCCCCTCCAGGAACCCATAAGAATTACTTGTTATGACAAGGTGTGTCCTATCCAGGAATTTGAAAGGATCCAGAGCTCTGTGTCACGCTGTCCTGCTTCTCAGAAAGGTCTAGGAGCAGAGCCTAAGATGTGTGTTCCTCTTTATCTCGCAGTAAGCTTTCTACATTGGCTTCTTCTGCTCAGCCTGTGCTCTCTCTGCTCCTCTCCATCTTTCTGTGTCTCCACAGCTCTCACTTCTTTCTGAAGCTGAAAAATACTCCACTGCATGGACACCCTAATGTTTGTTCACCCTTGCCTATCAAAAGGCAACGTGGTTACTTCTGTGTTCTTCAGATTATGGAGAAAGCTGCTATAAGCATTGGTGTGCAGGTTTGGTGTGTGGATGTGCTCGTTTGGGGAAATCACAAGGAGCGTGATGGCTGGATCATGTGGATCCAGAAGCTGCCCCATTCCCTCTCTCGGCACTCTGCCGTTTGTGTATTCTCACCAGCGGCACTGTTCCTGCTGCTTTACACATGGCTAGCATCTAGAGTTGCACTGTTTTGGATTTCACCCCGACAGGCAGATAGCGGTCTCATTGTTTAACTTGCAGTTCTCTAATGACATGACATCAGGTATCTTTCCATGTGCTCCTTTCTGTGTTTCTTCTTTCGGAGGTGTGCAGACCTCCTGCTCATTTTTGAATTGGCTTGTGTTGTGGTTTAGATTTAGATGTTCTCCCAAAGCCTCATGTGCTCCTAGGTGGTCTTTATTTAGTCAAGTCCCACTTAACCAGTTTTTTTCTTTCATGAGTCATGGTTTTGATGTTATATCTGAAAAATCATCAACAAATTCCAGGTCACTGAATTTTCTTCCAGGTTATCTTCTAAGAGTTCTAGTTTATATTTTACACTTAGGTCTATGATCCATTTTGAGTTAATTTTTGTGAAAGGAGTAAGTTCTACATCTAGACATAATATGCTTTAGTTTTTTTTTTTTTTTTTCCTTTTAGTACTAGATGTAGACATGGAACCTGGAGAACAATGAGCTATATCCCTGGCCCTATTTTCATTTTATTTTGAGACAGGGTTCAGCCTTCAGCTTGAGATCTTCCTACCTAAGTAGCTGGAATTACACCTGGCATGAATTTCTTATATTCTTTTTTCTGTACGTCATGTATGTGTACGTATGCACATACGTGCATGTCAGCAGTACACAGTGATTCCATTGACTGTGGGGGGGGTTGGTGCATACACACATCTTCATTCCTTTCACTTCCTTTTCCTTCCTCTGCTTCTCCCCCTCCCTCCCTCCCTCCTAGTCCTCTTCCCATTTGCGAAAGATCAATCTTGTATCCTAGTATCTTCTATTTTGCTACTTAAACTATATATACTTTGGTTTGCTCTTTTGAAAGATCCATCTAAGTCATGCTTTTCTATTCTGGTGGTTTTTACTTCTAGCAATTCTGATTCTTTCCTTTTCATTTCTGATAGCCATCTGTTTTTTATGTTCTCTTTTTCAGTTAGAGGCCTTAGCATATCAATCGTAGTTATTTTCAGTTCCTGGGTAATCCCAGCGTCTCCGCATACCCCAGTCTGGTTCTGCTGCTGCTGTCTCTTGACTCTCTCTCACCTTCAGAGTACCTGCTACTGTTCTGCTGGATGCTGACCTCGACATTCAGGGTTAAGAGACCTGAGGCAAACAGCGTCTCCCTAGACCTTTTGTGTTTACCTGGCTGGGTGTAGGCTGTAGCTGGAAATGTCAGAGCCTGCATTTCCTCTGGTGTCTGTTTCTATTGCCTGTTTTCTTTGGTTTCCTAAGGGCTGCTGCTTCTTGACCCGGGAGCCTCCCTGATGTTGGTAAGGTGGGGGCAGTGGCAGTCCTGTGACTGCTCCTGGGCTGTGCTCTGCACAGCCTTCTCGGCTCCCTCCCGGGGAACAGAAGTGGGGCTGGAGGTTGGGTGTCTCCCCCTACCTGGCATTAGATGTGACAGGACAATGTCCTTTAGGGGAGACTGTGGTGGGGGAGCAGGGTGCTCAGGCCTAGCCTAAACAGCAGCTTTCAGCTCCCATTTGGCTGGCAGTGCAGGGGACCTGGTCTGCAGCCTTCACAGTGAGGACCTGGCTGGCTGCGGCGGGGTCTCACTGGGGCCAGCACACAGTGGCTTATGGGCGGTGGGTTACGTAGTGTCCCCGGCCTGAGCTACTTCAAGCTTTGTGTAGGGACTATTTTAAATGTAATGAAAATGTTCATCCTATATTTCTAACACTAGTGTATTTGTTTTTTTTTTAAATTTATTTTAAAAATAGGAAAACATTAACAAAGAGACATCCATTTACAAAATAGCATCAGAACAATACAAGCAATACAGAGTTACAGACAAAGTGGTAGGAAATTAACAATGTTGTATTACATATTGATGTCTTCAAAGTGATTTCTCAGGAAAACAGAGACATGCAAGACTGCTCAAATAGGTAATCATTAGCTGTTCCTTTCAGTAAAGTGATAGAAGTCACTAGTACAACTATGTTAGCTCTCCTGTATGTACATACATACATAATTTCCTCTTCTTTCTTTCCTCTTTTCCCTCACCCCAGCTGCTTTTTACTTTTGGGCATTTCCTTTCGTTTCACAATGTCTGTCATACCTCCTAATTTTCATTCACTCTTTCAGGCTCTTACACTAACACTAGCATATTTGTAACACTGTCCAAGGATGAGATTGGGAAGCACAATTGGTTCTCATAATGAGAGAACTGCAAAACTTAACGAGCCATTGTACTCCCGGAGCCAGGGGCCGCGTAAGAGCAACTTAGCCAGACAGTGATGTTTTTCTTTTAAGTCCCAGAGAGTTATCGCCTCAAGGACACCTCTGCTTGGACAATGATTGATTCTCACCCCATGTTACATGATAGTAACCGCATTATTTCCTGTAAGAGTAAATTCTGTCTAGCAATTATTGACAAAGATGTGTAACCAACTCGTGTTATCTACCTTTTGTACTTCCTTCTGAAAACCTATATAAGCAATTAGTAACCTCAGAATGAGGCTGGTGATTTTGACCTCGATGTCCCCCAGTGTGCTAGTGTAATAAAGCTGTCTGCCTTCTGAAGCGCCTCTGGTGCTGTCTTCATCTGGCCTGGTTCTGAGCCCCACAACATTTGGACCTGTTTTCAGATGGGCTGAGTTGATGGCTTCTTTTCTCACTGTGAGGATGGGAATAATTACATACAAGCTGTTGCACAAGAAACCAGAGGGCCAGAGCGACAACATGCAGGCAGATGGCCTTGCATGTAAGTGGAGGGAACCAAGGTCACCTCGGCCGCAGTGCAGCTCAGGGGCAGGCAGAGCTGGGTCCTCCCCTCAGCACAAAACCACAGTACAGTAAGATCACTAACAGGAACTAAGTAGGAATCATGCTGTTTTATTTAATGCCAGTAATACTTTTCTTTTAGACAGGGTTTCATTATGTAGCCCATGATGGCCTGGAACTCATGGTGATCCTCCTGCCTTAGCCTCTCAGGTGCTGGGATTACAGGAGTGTGCCACTGGGCCCAACAGTAATACTTTTTCTTTGGGATGGACTCTCACTCCATTGAGCAGGCTGGCTTTGAACTCATGGCACTCAAGCAATCTTCCTGTATCACCCTCTGGAGGAACTCAGGTCACAGGTGTGAGCCACCATGCAGGGCTCCAGTTACAACTGTCACACACCTGTGCTCTGTATTGTCTGGCTTAGAGTTGTAGTGTTGTACACAGATGACTCAGCAGTCTCTGCACACCGGCACCTTTATGGAGTGGACACATGCACCTAGGGATGTGTTCTCCGATACCTGGTGAAGGCGTCCATGGTTTGCTCTGAGAGCAGGAAGGGGCTGGTGCCCCACTCCTGCTGGGCAGCCATGGTGGGCTTCCCAGGCAATGACAGCTCCTCTGCCAGTTAAGTGCCCCACGACTCTTTAGAATCTTGCTTTAAGTCACCTTAGACTTTCTCACCTTAGAGTTCCGAGACTGAGGACAGAACTCCTGCGCCCCTCACACTGCCCCCATGTGCTACCACTCCCTTGGTTCCATTATAAAACTGTAAGATCCAATGGCATATGCGCTGGTGTCTTCCAAAAGAGAGGCCGAGATAGGAAGGGGAGCCTGTTGAGGATCAGGGGGGTCTCCCGTGGCTGGCCCTTCCCCTAGGGCCTTGGTTTCCAGAGTAACTGGACTGCCCACACTTGTGAGCACTCAACATGTCCCAACTGAGGGAGGGTGGTGGTGAGGGAGGTGGCGATTCCAGCTTGAAAGTTACTTGAAAACCCCAGAGACAGTACCGAATGGAAAAAGAGCAGCAGTAATGTAACACACAGTTAAACATGTTTAATAGAAATATTAAAATAATCATTACATCTCATTGCCATGAAAGAATATGCCTTCTGTAATCAAAGTCTTTACATGCAAGTTATTTTATTACATTCATAAGTACAGACTATATTTCAAAATAAGTTTATATAGACTTTGAAAGGAATAGGCTCAAAGAAAAAGTGAAATTTATTTAAATATCATTGCAGTTACAGTGTATGCTACTGGCATACATTGTAAGCTCATATTCACAGCTTATAAAGTAAAAATCTAGACTTTTCAAGTCAGCTCTGAAATAGATCCATCTTCATGAATACATTCACCCAGTCAGGTCTGTTCTTATAGGACAGAAGTAGAAGCAAGTGAGTGAGGGAACCCTTCAAAGGACAAACTCAACGTGTCAGCAGCAAACTTCCAGTACACTAAGCTGGAAACTGGTGTCCTGGGAGCCAGTTCTCCAGAAGAGCCTGAGCGCAGCATGACCTTCGAGGCCTGAGGACTTCTGAGAGCACACCGTGCAACTTACACATAAAGAGCAAAAACAGAATTCTCAACTTTGATTTAGAGCACAGCTTTGATCCTGTCCATAAAACATACTCAGCAGCAACGTGAGCCGAAACGCCCCCATCCCCATCACACGGCCAGCCCGTGGACGCAGCACTGGCCTCCGCGATCACTTTCTAAAGTTGAGGCCCAGTCAAGCAGCGCTGCTCTGAGCAGCTCTGGCCTGGGAGGTGGACAGAGGCGCAGCCAGAGTGGGGATGGCAGGCAGTGGCACCGAGTAAGCCTGGGAGACCGTGAGCAGGGAAGGGGGAAGGCAGAGGCGAGGCCACCCCCAGGCAGTGTCACACCAGCCGCACCTCACCCTGGACAGCAGAGGGCACCTCAGGGGAAGACTTCAGCTGGCTGCACGATGGGCCGCAACGTATCAGCTTCATAACCCTACGTCCACCTGCCCAGTTAACCACTCTGTCACACTGTGGCCATCAGGTCTTCTCAGCAGTTTACTAACTTCCAAATCCATGGGCCACCTGGAGCCGACAGGTGCCGAGGCTGAGGGGAGAGCGGCCGTTTCCAGGGAGCGCACCACGGCCCAGGTGCGAAGCTGCCGTGCTTTCGCTCCAGGCCGAGATGTTCAACCTGTCTGACACACACGCAGAACAGAGGACACGGGCACACTCTTCCACAGAAGGACAGCAACACACGCGAACTGGCTCTAGATTGGTCCTGTTCAGCTGAGGAGGAGCCAGCTCCCCTCGATCTACCGAAGTCCGGACCAACTGTGCAGATAGGAGGCCCATCCGGAGGACCGGGAAGCATTTTCTTCCTCACCTTTGGGAAATGAAAAAAAAAGAAGTATTACATTTCTCCAGTGTGAAATCAATATTCTATAATCACTCTACAATATAAGCAATTAATGTCTTTTTACTGATTATATACCATCTAAGACATGCTAGTATTCTAAATTTCTCTTCTTTTCCAGTGCTGGGGATGAAACCTAGCTCTTTATGCATGCTAGGCAAGTGCTCTACTATTCTTTTTTCCTTGAGACAGGGTCTTGCTATGTAGTCCAGGCTGGCTGTGAGTTCACCATGAAGCCAAGGCTGAGCTCACACTCAAGGCGATCCTCCTGCCTTGGCCTCCCAGGTGCTGGGATTTCAGGTGTGCACCCCTACACCCAGCTTGAATCTCTCCTCAGTACTTTATGATGTTGGGCCGGGCCTCATGGCTTACGCCTGTAACCCCAGCACTCCGGAGGCTGAGAAAGGACTGCAAATTTGAGCCAGCCACGCCCTGGTAGTAAGAGTTTCTGAGACCCTGACTCAAAATTTTAAAAAAGGATGGCGGTGCGGCTCAGTGTGGAGGCTGTGGGTTCAGTTCCTGGTGCCGGGGGAGCAGCAGCTGCACACAAGGGCACTGTGGGTATGTGCCACACACTGGGCACGGCTCTGCTGTCCCTGACTGGGGTGAGGGGCGACGTGAGAAACAAACAACACATGCTAAAAAGTGTGGTGTAAACCACAGTCAACTCAATTTTAGACACAGACCTACGGCTCAGAGCCAGAGGCCCTGACCCAGGAGGGTGTGCATTGTGCTCAGCGTGGAAACGAGGTAATGGCTCCACCTGCCAGGAAGGATACAACCATTCTTTCAAATCTAGTCTCAGGCTACGCACTGGACAGAACGATCTGCGTGAGCCCAAGTCAAGTGAGAGGGCCCTTCGCGTACCCTGTGCCACGGTGGTGAGCCGCCCCTTCTCCTCGGGGCTCAGCTGCAGCATGGTGTCGATGACGGGGAGGAGCCTCTCCCGCTCGCTGCCAGGTTTCAGGAAGATGAACTGCAGCAAGACATTCTTCAAGTATTCCAGGTTGGCGACAGACTTCTCTCGCTCTTGATTTCTTTCCAATCTTCTTATTTCGCTTTTGAGAAGCTGGTGTTACAGAAATGAGTTAAAATGGGTTTTTAGCAGCTGCTGGCTAAACGTGGCAGACTGATGACATGCAGTTTTCCGTCTCTGACCCCTGAACATCTCCTGCATGCCAATGAAGGAGGGACTAGCAGAGGAGACAGGGAACAGGAGGAGGAGAGGGTGACAGACAGCAGCTTCTGAGAAGAGGGAGCATCTGTGTGAACACACAGGTCCCCAGCTCAGAGACCCAGGGCTTCAGGCTGAGGGGCATGGACCAAGTTTACAAAACAAGCAGCCGGAGCTCCCTCCACCTTTCTTCTCTGCAGCACGGGAGCCCAAGAGGCTCAAGACTGAAAGCAGCAGTTTCTGAAACCACTGCTCAACCCCAGGCCGTCCTGCTCGTTTGGGTACCTCCCCAAGACAGCAGCTGGGTAGAGGACACAATACCCTGGCCAAAGACACCACAAACGCTATCGGGAAAACAGGTGCAACATGATACAGGACAGGTTATAGGAAGTTCAATCTCTGAGGACGATTTCTAGGCTTTTGTTATGGTGCTCTATTTCATGATTTTAGGTTATTCCTGGAAAGCAGTGAATAGAATCTTTCTCTCCTAAAATCCAAGTTCACTTAAAAAAGTGAGAATAGGCCAGGTATGGTGGTGCACATCTATAGTCCCAGCACTTGGGAGGCTGAGCCAGGAGGATCCCCACAAATTTGAGGCGAACCTGGACTACATAGTGAGCTTAAGGCCAGCCTGAACTACATATGGGGATCCTTTCTCAAAAAAGCCAATAAAGTCCAAGAATCATGTGAGTATAAACCTGTGGAAAGACAGCATTGTATTAAAGAGGTTGCATAGGTTCACTATGCTGGTGAATAATTGGATATTGTTTTGATTAACTTTTTTTTTTTTTTTTGTACTAGGAATCAAACTCAGGACCTTGTGCTTGCCAGGCAGGAGCTGTGCCACTGAGCTGTATCCTCAGCCCCTGGATATTGTTTTGACTAGTAGGGGAACACGGTTTTATGGGATGCATATGCAGATATTTAGTGGTGGGATGTCAATATATATAAATAAAAATTTACTGTAGATAAGCAATTAAGCATTAAAAAAATTCATTTGGCAAGGACAGCGGGTAGCCCTGCCGAGTTGGGGCAGTTCTGTTTGGGCTGCACAGCAGAGAGAAGCATGTACTTTCCAGACAGACAGGAGTCCGAGTTGTGTTCCACGACGCACCACCTCCATTTTCTTTCTTTTCAGAGATTCTGAGTGATGTGTGTGTGTGTGTGTGTGTGTGTGTGTGTGTGTGTAAAGTCTAAGGTCTGCATCATGAAAACTGCTCAATCAGTATGAGGTTAAATTTTTTTTGTGGTACTAGGGATTGAACCCAGGCCTCATGCATGCTGGGTGAGTTCTCCACCACCGAGCTGCCATCTCCAGACTTCTTTAGTGTTCATTTTCTTTTGAGACAATGCCTTGCTAAGGGCTGGCCTTGAACCTGCCCTCTTCCCGCCTCAGTCTCCCGAGCTGCTGGGGTTACAGGTATGTACCATCAGGCCTGGCAGAATGCTTTACTCTTCAATAGTCAGCCATGGTAGAGAGGCCTTGTTTCAGTAATTTCAACTGCCTGCAACATTCCTAGATGTTTCTGGTGTGCTTTTAAGGAGGAAGCGCCTCCTTTGCTACTTCTCCACCTCCACTTGCAAGGGTGCCAGGTGGCCACGTCTGTCTGCTCACTAATCTGAACCAGAAGCGCTCCCCGCTTGTCTTTAGGGTCCATGGGCCTGAACTCATTTGAGTTTTACTTAAGCATATGTGGAACAATGACATATAAACATGTCTAATTTCTAAATCTATTATGGTTTCTTATAGAAAGTAGGAATTAAAGGGGTACTTATATAATAGATACAAAAGCACTGAATATTTCTTACCAGCAAAAATCTGTTAATACAAAGAATCAAGATGTCACAGGCGCATGTCTGCATTCGCTCAGGACACATCTGTCTGAAGCCTCCTCCCCTAGCACCCCCCAGGGCGGCCGTGGCCGGTGTGGCCTCACCTTGACTTGCTCCATGAGGATGGCGTTGGTTGCCTCTGTCTCCCGAAGCAGCCCGTTCAAGTGCTCTGCACTCTTTGTGGTGGAGCTGAGCTTCTGAACCAAGTCTTCTTTGGTAAACTCAGCATGCCACAAAGGAGGCTCTGCAAGATGTTCTAAGAATTAATTTTCGAAGTCAGAATGACAGATTCTGAACAAGAACAACACTTAAATGTCTTACGCGGCAAAACTGAGAGGGCTACTCCCTTGCTGTTTGTCTACTCACACGCCCCAGTCAAATGCTATTCGGCTGAATGTGACAACAGAAAGAGACTCCACTGCAGTGTGGAGGTTTAACCCACATCAGCCCTGCGAGCCCAGTGCTGCAGTGTGGCAGGCTTGCATCTCAGACATCTTCTCTTCTGTGTGGTGCGTGGAATGGAACTCAGGGCCTGGCACAAGGTAGGTCAGCACTCACCACTGAACTACGCCCCACCCTAGACCTTTTATTACTCTGGTTATGCATCCTCTCTCCATCTATAAATGTTCCATGAACCCACGTCATTTTTCTTGCAAGTGAGAGAAGAATCCTACCTACTGACTGCTGCATCACGGCCCTTCTGTGAGGTGGGGTAGGCATTACTTTCAAATTTGATGCTCGCAGCCGACAATTTCACTCTGGCTACATCACACGGCCAGAGCCGGTCTGGAGAGTGAAGCGATGCCCACTGTTCATGTTACCTGGGAGACCACGCCTCACGGCTTGACACTCACTGACCACCGCTCCAGCTGAGCTTCACTGTGCCCCGAAGGCCCACGTTTTAAAGCCTGCTCCTTGGCCTGAGGGCTTGTTGGGGGGGTCCTGGAGGACACTATGTCCCTGGAGACAGTGGGGTCCCAGCCCCCTTCTGTCTCCCGGCTGTGGTGAGGTGAGTGGCTCACCCTCCATGTGTCTGCCTTGCCACAGGCCCCAAACTAGAGCCAGTCGAGGTCTGACTGAACCCTCTGCAAGTGTGAGTCAAAGGAAACCGCTCTTCCTTCAAGCTGCCACCTCGAATGTCCCATCAGTGATGGAAAGCTGCTGAATACAGGGTGGGCGCAGGCGGCCCCACACTTCAAAGATGACGGAGTTCCCGAGTTATCACCAGTGACGCTCCTAAGAGCAGAACACAGCCCATGCCACAGCTGGTACAGCAAAGCTGGCACACGGTCCTCAAGAGGGGAAGGGGAGGCTGCCAGTCCCTGGAAGGGGGAAGAACAGGTGCTCACTCCCTAACGTCACTGGAGAACTCCCGTCATCCATGTCAGGCCTACCCTAGGTCACAGCCAGCATTTTAAAAAAGATTTTGTTTCCCACTGCAGGAAGTCTGAAGTGGCTCAGAAATGAAACAACACAAAAATATAAAATTGGAGTAAAATTAAGTAAGAGAACATGTGGCCAGAGCCACTCACCCAGCTTTGTCTCAGGAGAGCTGAGCAGCTGCTCCAGGGAGGGCGCGCAGGTGCTGGCGGAGGACACGGACTCGGCGTCCGCCGTCTCCATCCCCTCACCCTCCTCCCGCGTCACCGCGTGCATGTCCAGGAGGGGCAGGTCGGCGGTCCTCCTTTCTCGCAGGTTCTTCAAAGGCTGGCAAGAAGCCGTGGCTGGTAAACAGTTTTTCAGAAGGTAACTGTGAGACTTTCAAGATGGACAGATTCAGGCTTAACAGACACCAGGATTAAAATGATCCAGGGGATGTCAAATGATACGGAAATTAAATAATTAGAATAGTGTGTAAAGAGAGAATTGCTAGGGGCTGGGGATTTAGCTCAGTGGTTCAAGCGCCTGCCTAGCAAGCACAAGGTACTGTGTTCGATTCCCAGTACCCAAAAAAAAAAAAAAAAAGAGAGAGAGAATTCCTAAAAATGCTCTAAAAATGCAGTCACTGAACTTTTAATCACTTTAGCCATTTCAGGAGAAGCTATGAGTTAACTGCAATTAGCTGGCTAAGATAAACTGTTGGATGACACAAAACTTGTAATACAGCACTACTAAATTTTATTAATTTACGGAAAAGTGCTATCAATTGCCAAATATTGGTGGAAACGATAAAGCTAGATCCCCTGATTGCCTCTATTTGCTTTGGTCTTTTACTTTTGGGTACTGGGAATCGAACTCAGAAACTTCCGCTTGCCAGACAGGCACTGTACCACTGAGCTATCTCCCCGGCCTGATCCCAGCTATTTGGATTCCTGCATCCTTCCTGACAGGACATGTCCACACCAGCAGGCTCGGCCCACGTCCGCCTCACAGCCCTCACCACCTCCTTGGACAGTCCCAGCACTGCCCACGCACACTGCAGCCTCGGCGTGAATCCCAGGCTCCAGCCAATGGAACACGTTTCCCGCCAAGGATTTTTTTTTGGTTATATTGTTTTATTATTTTTATTTTAAAAAGGAAAAAAACCCCAAATTTCAAAACAAGATAATAGAAGGGTAACAATGGTTAATACGTTGCAAATTATTATCTTTAAATTAGTTGACAATGGCATGTAATCATCCACATTAGCACAAAACTTTCTTTTCAATGAACTAAGAGAAACTAGTAGTGTAACTATCTTATGTATTTATTTTTTTCTTTTTTTCTCTTCTTTCTTTCCTCTATCCCATCCCAGTTTCTTTTTCCTTTTGAAGTTTCTTCCCATTTTACAATGTTTTGTGTACATTTTGGATCTTATTTACTCTTTCAGCTTCTCACACTAGGGAGACAATACGATGTTTACACATGTGCGTCTGGTTTATTTCACTTATGAGTATGGTCTCGAGTTGCATTCATTTCCCTATGAAAGTCTCCAGTTTATCCTTCTTTATGGCTGAGCAGTACTCCATTGTATAAAAAGACATCTTTTTTATTCATTCCTCAGCTGATGGGCATTTGGATTGTTTCCAAGATCTAGCTATGACAAACTGTGCTGCTATAAACATGGGTGCACATACATCACTGTGATACAATGTTTTTAATTCTTCTGGCAAAATACCCAGAAGGGGAATAGCTGGGTCAAATGGGACCTCCAATCCTAGTGTTTTGAGGAACCTCCACACTCATTTCCACAGTGGTTACACCTGTCTACACTCCCACCAGCCGTGAAGGCTTCTTTTTTCCCCACAGCCCCACCAGCATTTGCTATTGGTTGATTTCTTGATAACAGTCATTCTTTTTGGGGTAAGATGCAACTTAAGTATTATTTCAATTTTCATCTCTCAAATGACCAGCGATGTTGAGAATTTATTCATGTATTTATTTGTTGTTTGTAGTTCTTCATCTCAGATAGCCATTTTTGGATTGGGCAGTTAAATTTGGGAGGTCTGATTTTTTTTCTGAGTTCTTTATATGTTCTCAATAGTCCTTTGTCTGAGAAACAGCTGATAGAATTTTTTTTTCCCACCTTGTGGGTTGTCTCTTCACTCTGCTGGTGGATTTGCTTATTGTGAAAAAGCTTTTTAATAAGAGATCCCAGCTGTTGATTCTTTGTGATAGGTCCTGTGCAATCAGGGTTTTATTCATAAACGCTTTGCCTACACCAATGCCTTCAAGAGTTTTACCTATCTTCCAGCAGATTTAATGGTTTTGTTTTAATATTTAGATGTTTGACCCATTTCGAATTTAGTTTAGTGCCTGGTGAAAGATACAGATCCAATTTTAATCTCAGCATATGGACAGCCAGTTCTTCCAGCACCATTTATTAAAGAGGCTGTCTTTCTTCCAATGAATGTTTGGCACCTTTGTCAAAGAAAAGGTGGCTGAGTGTGTCTGGAGTTGTTTCTGCATCTTCTAATCTGTTCCACTGATCTTTGGGCCCTTTTTTTTTTTTTTTTTCCGTACCATGCTGCTTTTATCACAGTAGCTTTATACAGTATAATTTCAAGTCAGGGATTGTGATGCCCTGTACCTTGCCTTTGTTGCTCAGAACTGCCTTTGCTATTATAGGTCTCTTCTGGTTCTCAATGCATTTTAGGACTGTTTTTTCTAATTCTATAAGATATGCTATTAAAATTTTGATAGGAATTGCATTAAACCTACTTAACAGTTCTGGGATTATGGCCATTTTCACTATCATGGTTCTTCCTACCCAAAAGTAAGGGATCCATTTCCTGATAGCTGCATCAATCTCCTTTTCCAGAGTATTGTAGTTTTCAACATAAAAGATCTTTTACATCCTTTGTTAGATTGATTCCTAGGTATTTCATTTTTTTGGATGCTACTGTAAAGGGTGTTTACCTAACTTCTCAGTGAGTTTGTTACGCATGTACAGGAAGGCTACTGACTATTGAGTACTGACTTTGTATCCAGCTACACTACTGAATTTGTTTATTAAATCTAGCAGTTTTTAGTGGAATTTTTGAGGTCTTCTATGTAGAGTATTATGTCATCTTTAAATAATGATAATTTAACTTCTTCCTTTCCTATCATTACTCCTTTTATTACTTTCTCTGGCCTAAGTGCTCCGGCTAAAGTTTCCAGGACTATGTTGATAAGAGCGGAGACAGTGAACATCCTTGCCTTGTTCCTGACTTTAGAGAGAAAGCTTTCAGTTTTTGTCCATTTAGTATGATGCTGGCTGTTGGTTTGTCATAGATGGCTTTTCAGATTGAGATAACGACAATCTATTCCAATTTTCTGTAGCATTTTTATCATGAATGGGTGCGCGACTTTGTCAAAAGTATTTTATACATCTATTGAGATGATCATGATTTTTATCCTTGGCCCTGTTAATATGGTGTATTACATTTACTGATTTGTGTACATTGAAACATTCCCTGCATTCCTGGGATGAATCCCACTTGGTCATGGTGTATAATCTTCTTTTTTTGTCTTTTTGAGACTTTGTCTTTTTGAGACAGGGTCTCACTATGCAGTTCAGGCTGGCCTTGAGCTCACTTTCTAGCCCAGGCTTGTCTCAAACTCACAAGGATTCTCCTGCCTCAGACTCCTGAGTGCTAGGATTACAGGCGTGCACCATCATGCCCAGCTTTTGATCTTTTTTTTTCTTTGAGACAGGGTTTTGCTATGCAGTTCAGGCTGGCCTTGAACTCATTTTGTAGCCCAGGCTAGCCTCGAACTTGTGGTGATCCTTCTGCCTCAGCCACAAGTGCTGGGATTAGAGGCTTGTGTACCACCATGTCCAGCTGTATAATCTTCTCGATGATCTGCTACATTGTTTGCCAGTCTTTTTTTTTTTTGTACCAGGAATCGAACTCAGGACCCTGTGCTTGCCAGGCAGGCACTTATGCTGCTGAGCTATATCCCCAGCCCATTTGCCAGTCTTATTAAGGATTTTTGCATCTATGTTCATTAGGGAGACTAGCCTGTAGCTCTTTAGTTGGGTCCTTCTCCAGTTTTGGAATCAGGGTAATGCTTGCTTCCAGGAATGAATTTGGGAGTATTGCTTCCCTTTCAATTTCATTGAACAGTCTGCGAAGTAGTGACGTTAGGTCTTCTCTAAATTTCTTGTAGCATTGAGCAGTATTTGTTAAGGTCTGGGCTTTTTTTTTGTTGGTAGGTTTTTAATTACATCTTTAATTTGACTGACTGATACTGGTTTATTAAGGATTTTTGTATCTTCTTGATTATATGTATTTAGGAATCTGTCCAATTCTTCTGCATTTTCCATCTTATTGAATGCAAGTTTTTTTTTTTTTTTTTTTTTTTTTTTGGTTTTTCTCCGGTACCAGGAACTGAACTCACGACCTTGCGCTTGCCAGGCAGACGCTTTGCCGCTGAGCTAAATCCCCAGCCCCGAATGCAAGTTTTTAAAGTAGGTATAGATAATCTTCTGGGATTTCTGCAGTGTCTGTTGCGATTTTACCCTTTTCATTCCTAATTGTGTGGATTTGAGTCTTCTTTTTTTTGATAAGGTTGGATAAGAGCTTGTCGATTTTATTTAATCTTTCAAAGAACCAACTCTTTGAGACATTTGTTTTTTTAGTTTCCACTGTGTTGATTTCTGCTTTGACCTTTGTAATTTTCTCCCTCCATGACCTCTATGAGCTTTCACTCAGCATGCTCTTCTTTTTCTAGCAGTCTGAGGCTCACCATTAAGCTGTGTGCTTGCCCTGCCCTGCTCTCCTGATCCGGGGATTCACGCCGCCAAGGCTTTTCGTGTTGGCTCCTACTGAATATTTGCTCACAACTGTGAAGTTTGTCAGGCACATTAATTTCAGGTGCATTACTTACCTGACTCCAGGAAATCTACAGTTCAAAGAAATTTAATGACTTGTTCACTGCTCACTGAGGGACAGCAGCTCTAACTCACGTTTTCTAAACTGCAGTTTTTACTTTCTGCCTCATGAAGTCGCCCGTCTTGTCCTTTCACGCCCAGCTTTCCTGGCTGCCCTTCTGAAGCATTCTTGGGCTCCTGCCATTTGCACAGCTGCTTACTGTGCTCCTGACTCCCAGATTCCAACCTCCTATGCAGCCTGTCCTGCTCTGACTACCTCCGTTTTGACTGCTGGCACGTGTTAAACTCTTCTGATGCTGGTTTCTGATCCTGACAAATGACCTGTGGCTGCTCTGCTCCAGAAACATTCTCCGTGGGAAACAAAGTGCCATCAACGCAGGACTCAAGTGTGTGACCATCCTGGCTGACAGTACCATCTGTCCCTGGAAGCAGAATGGAAGATGCCGAGTGTGGCTGGACTGAAACTCCAACCAGTAAGAGACGCGAGAGGAGGAAGCGTGTGGGTGTTTCAGGGACCTGGCCCTGTCTGGTATTTTCAGCTACAGAACAGACGCCTGTGATAACCCGCAATGGAAAGCACCAGGCATCCAAAGGTGAAACTAGAATTAGGTCCCATGCCATGTGTCTTGGTTACTTTTCTCTCCTTGCTGAGAGAAAATGCCCAAAATGCCAGAATTACGGAAGGAAAGGTTTCTTTAACTCACAGTTTATAGAAGTTTCAGTCCATACTCGGCTGGCTCCAAGGCAGAGCAGCACATGGCACAGGGTAACTGTTCATGGTGGCAGAAAACAGCAAAAGCCACAGAGCAAAAGGAGGGGCAGCAGCTGGAAGAGCAAGCTTCTTTCCCTCCCTTACACTGTATGCAAACTACCTGCCCCAGGGTGGGTGTAGCACTCACATCCATAATTCTAACACTGGACCATCAATCGATCAGAACTCTAGAAGCCTGCCCCATGACTGCGTGTGGCTTTGGGGAGACACCCAGACACAGACCATAACAGCACGATACTGCTAAGAGGTATGTCTAAATCAGACAAAAAGCAAACGATTTCCCTGGAGGGTGATAAATTCACGTAAGCTAGCACTCCCAAAGGCTACACAGGCTGACAGAAGTGTAACAGTGACGGTTCACACGATAGCAAATCCAATATGCATTAACTGCAGAACGGACAGTGGATGACACCTTGCCCTGAATCTATGAACAATGCACTGAAGTGATACAAGCATGGGAAAGCATGAGCTGGCTGCTTCCTGGTACATACATACTTCGTGTGGCTGGCTCACTCTTGAGCTGGAACAGCTGAGCTTCCACCTTGGAGAGCTGCTGCTGCAGGGTCTCCACCGTCTTCCGGTGCTCGTCCTGCAAGTGCCGCACCTGCTCTCGGAAGCTGGTGCGGAGGACCTCACTCTGGGATGTCAGCTGACCCACTGTCTTTGCATTCTCAGACTTCATCGCCAAGTTCTCGGACTGGATGGAGCATAGCCTGCAGGGTGAGAGGACCTGGGTCACGTGGGAGATTCCAAGCTTCTGCAGAAGCCCTAACGCACCTCCGAGGCGTAAGCTACCTTCTCTCCTACACACCCAGCACGTGCTGGTCAGCTACAAGCCGGGTGGCCACTGCCAGCTGGTTCCCACCACAGTCTGTGTCTCAAGGCAGATGCAGAATCTTGGACGAGAGGCTGTGTTGCACGGTTCATCAGAAAAAAGAATTCTACTTAGAGCACAAGCTAATTATACCTTTAATTACCCGCGTCTTCAGCAGTCTTATGTGGCAGCTCACATAAACAACACTTCATAGAGGGTGAGCCTTTAAAGGAAAGTATCTGTTTCCTGTGAATTAAACCGAAACACTTGAACACAAAGGCCTGATTTACTACAGCAGCCTCCTGATCTCTGCACATCAGACCCGCTGCTCGCCCCGTTAGAAACAGTCCAGCGGTTTCCATGCTAAGCCGCCGAATCAGCCTCCAGCAGCGCTCCTCAGAGGTGCCTGCTGTTAACAAGCTCCCAAGGGATTTTTACGAGTCAGTCTGGACAGAGAACCTGCAGTTTGAGAACCACTACTCTTTCAATGGCTTGCTTGTAGTCCGCTGTTTTACAGGTTTGGTTTTTTGTAAAATAAAAACGAAACTTCCTTTTTACCTAAGGGACCCAGGATTATTCTGTGACAGAAACCCAAGCAATATGGAGAACACCTGAGACAGACAGAGCATCCTGACACCCCGATGGAAGATGCTCAAAGAACTCCTTTCCTCAGCTCCCTAACATACCATGACAACCTCCAATGTCCTTATTATAGGAGTTCAACATTTCCTGTTCACAACAATCCCTTTCCCAATATCTGAGTGCTGGAATGGTTAATAAGATATGACAAGTTGAAGACAAAGCTGCTAGGATAAGTGGCATTTTCTTTTTCGGTAAGATTTACTGTTTTCCTTTGGAGATGAGGGAGAATGCTTAATGCCACACCTGAAATGGAAAGTAGCTTTTCTGGGGGTCAGGTGGCAGTACTGGGGACTGAAGATAGGACTTCACACTGAGCTACATCCCTAGTATTTTTTCTACTTTTTGAGACAAGATCTTGCTAAGTTGATAAACTGCCCTCCCAGAGTGCTGGGATTACAGGTGTGCGCTGCCACACCCACCAAGCAGCACTTTTTTTAAAGGAAGCACTGCCACCATGAAGGCAGCAGGAGGGGCACATAAAAGTGTCCTTAAATATGTGAAGTATAAAGTCAGGCCAGAGGGGCAGTGCTAAGCCTCTGAAAGAAAGCCTACATCAGACTCTCCCATAAATGTTCGCCCTAAGGAGTGTGAGGCCAGGCGCCCGCACAGCCACCTACTTCTCTCGCAGCTCCGCCTCCTTCGCCACGGTCTCCTGCAGCGTGCGGTTGTGCCTCTCCAGCAGGATGTCGTGCTCTGACTGCAGTGCCTGCAGCTCCGACACGCTGGCCTGCAGGTTATTCTGGCTGTCTTGAAGCTTGATCTTCAGCTGGTCAACCAGCATTTCCAGGTGCTCCCTAAAGCAGAAGTACACAGTTATCAACCGTGGAAAGCAGCACACCTCATGTGGTTTCAAACATATTTTAGTCAATCTTTTGATGCCATACTCTTATTATTGCACATGATTCCACAGGGCACACAAGAATAAGAACTCAGAGTTAAATACAGTAACAAAGACATTAACAGATTGTCAGTTTCAGGCACTACAGTTATAGAACACTCTCACCTTTTAAGTTGCATATCCTAATGAAATAGGCCATTAAACTATATGAAGCTAGCCTATTTTATCATAAAGGACTATGTCATTAAACAAAACCCACACAGTTCCAAATTAACTGCTGTGAAAATGCTGTTAGACCAAATCAGAGCAAAAGGTCTTTTTTGGGCTTAGGATAAAGTTCTGGTGAAACAGTGAAAATCCGTAATTCTGTCATAATCTACAGAACACCATCACTGTCACTTTCAGCAAATGTACTCAATGGGGGCAGCAGGATCTCTGCAGCAGGGCTGCTGCTTGGGATGTACCAGGGTCTGGGTTAGCTCTCTAGCTCAGACCAAAGAAAAAACACTCCAAACGGGGCATGGTGGTGCACACCTTAGCAATCCCTGCTCCTCAGAAGGTTGAGGCAGAAGGATCCCAAGTTCAAGGCCAGCCTGACAACTTAAACCCTGCCTCAAAGGGAGACTGGGCTACAGATGCTACTGGAGTGGCAAGCAGAGGGCCCTGAGGGCTTCATGTATAAAAAAGTACAACAAACATAATGTAGCTCATTAAAACAACGTGAACCCAAAGTTCAGGCATAGTAAAAAAGGGCTCTTGCAAATGGTGACACTTTACATTTATTAAAGTGTTAACTTTGGCCAGGCATGGTGGCACATACCTGTAATTCCAACGCTCAGGAGGCTGAGGCAGGAGAATTGCTGCAAATCTGCATCCAGCCTGGGGTATATGGTGATTTCAAGACCAGCTGGGAATACATAGTGAGTGAGACCTTGTCTCAAAATCAAAACGGGCCAGGTGTAACCCCAGCACTCAGAAGGCTGAGGCAGGAGATTGCTGGGAGTGTGAGGCCAGCCTGGGCTACAAAGTGAGTTCAAGGCCAGTATAATCTCCACCCTGATCTCCACCTCACTCTGTCTCAAAAAAAGAAAAAGGAAACAAAACAAACACCGCCCCTAAGCCAACTCTAGCTTGATGAGGAGCTGCTGGCAGAGGGAACACGCCCCAGTCTGCAGTCCCACATGTAATGCCCCTAAGCGAAGGACAGAAGATGAGCAAACTCCACAGCACCCCAGACCGCCTGCAGAACTGCCCCTCACAGAACGCCAACGGCCGGCCTGCTCTTGCCCTGAATACTTCTGCATGACTCGCTCAGGGTGTGGATGCTCGGGTAAAGCAGGGTTAAATGATCCGCTGCTCAAGTGGAACTGAGAAGATGCTAATACATTAAAGAAAAACTTTATTCAATGCCAGAACTCAGTACTTACTTGTTTTTTTGTTTGTTTGTTTTTTTCCGGTACTGGGTATGGAACTTGTGACCTTGCGCTTGCCAGGCAGGCGCTGTGCCACTGAGCTAAATCCCCAGCCCCACTTCTGCTTTTTGAGATAGGGTCTCACTATGTAGTCCAGACCTTGAACCCGTTATGTAGCCCATGATGGCCTGGAACTCACAGTGATCCTCCTGCCTTAGCCTCCTGAGTGCTGGGATTATAGGGTGCACGCCCTGAGCCGCATGAACACTTCTTTTTTTTTTTTAAGAACACTTCTTGAAGTAATACATCTTACCAACTTCTGCTTAACCTGATGGTGAAAAAGTGCTGAGTAAGTGCTTTTACTCTTTGACTCTTCAATTTCCAAAATTGGAAAAACTAATCATAATTTTAATGTCTAAATTTCTACTACAATTAAGCCCTATTAAGAAGAGACTGAGGTCAGAGACTGCTGGCCCCACGGCGCCCTGCAAGCCTTCAGCGTTTGCACAGTACCTGTGGCCGGGAGCGCCCCATGGACCCCAGCCTGTGGCGACTTCCGGCCACGTGGGGAACCCTGTGAGCTTCCGGGTTAAACCTCACCTTTCTTGTTTACCTCCCTCAGTTTCAGCCTGAGACGAAGATTTGTTTTTCTGTTGTTTCAGGACATTGTGGACTCGGACTTTGTAGCTCTCGAATTCTGAGGTTACAGCAGCTTGTTCTGCCTATGACATGAGAAGAGAGGAAACCATTTTCTACCATAACACGATCTTATTTTCAGAGGTTAACAAAAATAAAGATGAAAACTCGTTCTTGAAAATAAAGATAGTGGACTTTGTTTCCGCCCCCGTTCACCAAATGGTTGTTGTACACATCTTTTAAATCTCTGAAGAACGTAATCTTCTCTGACAAGAGATTAACTTAGGGCCCACGTGCTTCAGAAGGGCACTATTTGCTTTTGGAACCTCGCAAACATTTTTCACTTATCACAGCCCTATTTTAAGTCCCCTGAACCTGAGTTTCCACAATGGAGTGGAGAAGGTCCATCCCAAGTCCTGCACACCCCTAAAGTGCCCGGGGCCAGCGCTGCCCGGCTCAGCCAGGTGGCCCCCAGCGGCCCTGGGGCGAGCAAGCACGAGGGAGACCTGGACTAGCACCTTGGCCGCGCGGCTCTCCTCCTGCAGCGCGGCCACCCGCTGCTGGAAGGCGCCGAGTGCGCGTTGGTGCTGCTCGGTGGACGCCTTCAGGTGCTCGTGCAGCTTGTGCTTCTCGGCAGTCACCTCGGCCAGCTGGATCTGGGGGGAGACGGCAGGTTACCGCGGAGCCCCACGCGGGAGGCGCACACGGACGGAGCTCAGAGTGTTAGTACTGAAGGGTGGAGACGGCAGGAGCACGGCAGTTCACGCGATGGTAAGCAAACCAACCGCAGCCCAAAATCATGAAGATCCCGTGCTACGTATTTCTTTTGTTTTTTTTCTGGTACCGGGAACCGAACTCACGACCTTGCGCTTGCCAGGCAGGTGCTTTGCCGCTGAGCTAAATCCCCAGCCCCTCCGGGCTACGTATTTCACTCCCATTTAGTTAAACATATAGAGTCTGTCAAAAAACATATACATGCTTCAGAGAAAGAAAGAATATGCTTTTCCAAAGGACAGTATTACCCTCGTACGGGGGGCCCTAGAGGTCATTGTGTACCGCTGAAAACCCACCATACTGCGGCCCTCAGAGAAGAAGCCGGAAATGCACGTGCAGGAGTCTCAGAGAGCAAGCTTCCCCAGCAGAGCTCACCGTAGTAACAGTGCCTGGAGGCTCGCGCCCACCGTCTGAGCACCTCCTGTAACTGTGGTGGCCAAGGGTCACATGTGTTCATCTCATGATGTGTCACGTTTAGTATGAACACATTTATGGAGGGTTTGCTTGTCCTGAAGTGTGTATACAGTTTTTGGTGGGCTCTGTATTTATATATACACGAAGCTTACACACACAGAACCATTTTACACCCTGTTTCTTGTGACTGCAGTGTCTCAGAGGATGAAGATGAGGTCTGGGGCAGGTCTACTCTGCTTCCCATTGCTCTGCAGCACCCCAGCATCCTGAAGAGCATAAAGATAACTCCGCTTGAGGTACACGCCACGCTTCACTGACTGCTACCACTTCCTCAGAATGTCGAGGACTCTTTCTACATCTCCTCAGAGCAAAGGCGAACCTTTTACCCCTTCCGGGATGCGGACAGCCCGCTGCAGCACGCACGCCATGAGCTCACCACTGCCTTAGAGGGCGCTCCCTGCCACACGCAAAGCCCTTTTTCCACCTCCGAGATCAGAGTCTTACTTTGTAGACTTCTCCTTGCTGCTGGCTTGCCTCCAGCTCACCCTTTAAGGATGCTTCAAGGATGAGATGCTCGGTTTCCTACAGAATGAAAACAGCGTTTAGATGCAAAGTGCAGTTACGCGTCAGTAGACTACGAACAAATGCCAAGGTCGGAAGGAGTCACGTAACATACTGCAAAGCGCAGTTACGCGTCAGTAGACTACGAACAAATGCCAAGGTCGGAAGGAGTCACGTAACATACTGCAAAGCGCAGTTACGCGTCAGTAGACTACGAACAAATGCCAAGGTCGGAAGGAGTCACGTAACATACTGCAAAGCGCAGTTACGCGTCAGTAGACTACGAACAAATGCCAAGGTCGGAAGGAGTCACGTAACATACCGCTTGCTTTGCGTCTGCCAGCTCCTTCTTGGTTCTCACAAGCAGCTGCTTGATCGCGGCGTGTTTCTCCTCATGCTGCTGCAGGGAAGACTGGAGCGAGGCTGGACCCAGGAGGGATTTCCACAGAGAGAGGAAACAGCTTCCGTAAGTGCACAGACGCCCGCCCAGCAGGACACGACCTCCTCGTGTGAACCTGCTTCTAAAGGAGCTGCTGTAGCTCGTTATCATGGGGTGTTTCAGACACACGTGACTGCAGCGGCAACCGCGGTCATCACCGGAAGCCTCCCACACACGGCCGGCACGGGCCACGCGGACCTCGCTCAGCAGCGTGGGGCTCGGCTCGCTCCCTGGGCGCCGCCTGACCGGGCACAGCGGGCCTACCCCTTCACATTCGGCCGGTGGCTGCTCCGGTGCCACCACAGGGAGCAGGGTATGAGCAGACTGTGGGGCTCACACACCCCGGAGACTTGGGCAGTCTGTCACCCCCTGAACAGTGCCTCACCTAGTTACTCTCTGAGCCTGCTGTGTCATCTGAAAGCAAGTCAATCTGTAAATACTTCCGTGCATGTCTCTAAAACCAAAGCACAGCTACACTTCATCTCTAAAAGATAAGGGCTACTTTTGAAAAGCACCTCAGGGGCCAGAGATATAGGTCAGTGGCACAAGCGCCTGCCTGGCAGGCATAAGGTCCTCAGTTCAAGTCCTGGTACCCCGCCACCCCGCAAAATAAATAAAATAAAATAAAAAGCCTCTCCTGAGGTGCTGAGTATTTCCCGTTTGTCACCCCAGAGGCGTACACCCGTTTGTGACAGCAACTTAGATGCAGTAACTTTTTGGGGGAGGGACTGTTAGCAAAAGAATGCTCACTAAGGAAGAAATTTAAAAAACAGACAAAAACTGCCTTGCTGACAGAGGTAAGGAAGAAACACAGGCAAGAAGGGACAAGCAGATTCACTGTGGAATCACAGGCGACCCTGTGAAGCTGCTGTGAAGCAAACCAAGAGACCGGGCTGAGGCCTTGGGGTCATGCAAGGCCCGGGTTTACCCGTTTACAGGTCTGCCTGCTTCCAACATAGACCGCTTACACGAGTGTGGAGCCGTGCTGCCGAAGGACCTGGCGAGCACTGGCTGAGGTAAATTCACACACGCGAATGCACCTAGTCGACAGGAAGAGGGGTATTTTAACTGTGCTTCTGAGAGTAAGCCTGGTTCAGTTACTTCCAGCAAGGACTTACCCCTTTCCAAAAATGCATTTCAGGAGGCACAGATCACCTATGAAGCCTTGCAGGTGCTCCGAGAGCTGAGACCAAGCAACACCAAGGAGCACCCTAGGCTCGACTAGGGGCGACCCTCATACGACAACGGAAAGCAGAACGCACCTGTCAGCAGGGCCACACAGAGGCTACACAATCCGCACGTCTGAAGGCCACCTCTACTCTGCGCAGAATGAGGCAGACTTCATGCGCAGGAAGCACCAAGAAGCAGAAGGAACCAAAGGGTGAGTAAGGGTGTGGGAGGCAGGAAAGGGTGAAAGACAGATGAAATAACACTTGTGGAAAAACAGCATCTCTTGGGAAAAATCAGTACCCTCCCGGGGACGGTAATGAGAATTAGACCGAAGGGCTGGGTATAGTGGGGCACACCTGTAATCCCAGCACTCGGAAGGCTGAGGCAGGTGGGTCCCTGTGAATTCCAGGCCAGCCTGGGTTACACAGGGAGTTTAAGGCCAGCCTGAACTACATAGTGAGAGCCTGTGTCAAAAACCCAAAATAAACAAATAAAAATAAACACAAACACAGCTTACTAGGCTGAGGGCGCAACTGCATCCTCTCACACGGACGCTGTCCTGACGCTGCCCTGACGCTGCCTCCTCACGCTAACTCCAGACTCCCACCTCCGGCCCCCAGTTACCCTGAACACCGCACTCCTACCCGCAGCCCCCAGTCACCCAGATCCCGGACTCCCTCCCTCGGCCCCCAGTCACCCTGAACTCCGCACTCCTACCCCCAGGCCCCAGTCACCCCGATCCCTAGCAGTAGTTCTCTTGTCTTTAAAATGAACCAATCACTTCCTCCTGGTGTTCAGGTCCTTCATGAACGGATCAGAAATAGCTGTACTCAATCACTTCTCCCTAACCAGCAAAGCCTGTACTCCACCCAGTGAAGATTTCCAACAGTGAGGCTCTGCCCACACCCGGGCTGCAGGAAGGCTGCAGAAAAAGCCTTCTCCCACACAGCTCAGGAGGCCATGGCTCAAACACAGCCTTGCTACTCCTCTCTCCTGGGCCTGAGAGCAGCTGTCCCCGTCTACAAGGCCTCTGACTCTGATGGGTGCTGGGCTTGCATCCAGCACTGCTCATCTCTGCACGCAGGAGGTATTGCTGGAGAGGGGTGCTATCTGGAATAAGCACCTCTTCTTAGTTTTCCAAAGGACTGCGCCTTTCTTTCAGTCCAAAATACACGGGTTTGCTAATTTACACAACCGAGGGAAGAAATAAAACCCACAGCCCTACTAGTCAATGTGTACTGAAAACTAGAGACACAGCTCAGGCCCAGTGAGTAACCCACACATGGACAACCACGGCCCGTGCCTGGACACAGCAGGCGAGTGGAACTCTGCACGCCTGGCTTCCCTGCTGTGTCACTCCCAGATGTACCTGTGTGAGCCACGACGTGGCCTGGGCTGGTGACACAGCGTCCTGCGGCCAGGGTGGGAGGTGTGCTGCTACAGGGGTGAGGACACTGCTGAGGCTCCCAGTGCTTCCTGAACTGGCTTAGCCTCACCCCACGGAGGGAGCGCCCCAGACAGACACTGCACACCCAGCGCGAGTTTGCTGTGGGGATTTCCACCACCGTCTCCAGGTGCCAGTGACACAGTGAGGCTGAGCCCACACCACAGCAGGGCCCTTTACAACAAAAAAGCCTTTTCCCACACAGCTCAGGAAGCCATGGCTCAGACATTGTGCCTGCTGTTACTGCGAATGCCACGAGCCCCATATGGGATGAATCTGTCTTCACTCTGGCTTCTGGACACTCACGCCGGAACTCACAAGACACCATCTAGCAAAAGTAGATGGGACCCATACGTTGCGTCTCGGTCTTTTTTTTCTCTTTGAGACCAGCTGGCCTTGAACTTGCTATCATCTTGCCTCGGCCCACTGCATAGCTGTTTCTACAGTTGTGTGCCACCATGCTCAGCCTAGGTTTGGAAATTTTATCTGACTTTACTACGTAGTCCTTCTGCAATACTTCCTCTTACACTACTCCCTCATCATTTATATCCCAAAATCTTGTTTTGTGGTATTATGTCTGTGGCCACCTCAAATTATTTCATGGAAATTCTGCTTCTGACTTGTAAAACAGGAAACTGAACCAAGTGCAGAAAAGGTCTTTTCCTGACACTGGACAGCAGCACACACTGACCCAGGCTCAAGTGGGCCTGAGGGGGCGTCAGCGCAGACGCCACTTGTAGAGGCTGGGAGCCTGGGGCAGGGCTGGGGACCAACGTGAGGCATGCGAGCTGCTCTGGACACCTGGGGCTCTCCTGGGGCACAGTCGCCGACGCCCGCCAGCCAGGCCTGCGAGGACAGGGCCCTTGGCACCAGCGGGCAGCACCACCTGGGGGTGGGGCGGGGGGGGGGCCGTGCTGGCCTGCAGGGATGGCTGCTTAGACTCCTGGCTGGAGGTGAAGACCATTCCTAAAGGGACACAGTTGACCTCCAAATAACCGCGCTGTCAGTGTTTGTTTTTTAGAGACAGTCTTGCCATGCAGCCCACGCTGGCCTTGAAGTCATGATCCTCCTGCCTCAGTCCCCTGAGTGCTGGGATGAGGGGGGCACCAAAGTTTAACTTTTTAAATGAAAAACAAAAATGAACCAAAAAAGAAAATTCCACCATTTAACAATGAAAAATTCACATCTAACTAAAAACTACTTTCCATATAAAGAAGGAAGCAGAATTCAATTTATACACAGGAGGGAAGGACTCAGCCAATGGAAAGATCAGTAAATTACAGAAAGGACAGACTAGCAAACAAGGCCACTAAACCCGCTATTAAACATGCTCAAGGATTTGAAGAACATGAACATAACAGAAATGAAAAACATAAAAAGACCACATGAACTCAGGAGATGTGGAGTGCAGGCTCGCACGTGGAATTCGCAGAGTGGACAGCGTCTGCTGTGAGCTTGGGAGACGTGGGAACACGTGACGGGAGCCTGGGGAGCGTGGACACGCACGGGTGGAAACAAGACAGAAATGGGCAGACACCGCGGACCGTCGGGCCATATCGGCTAACGGCCTGAGAGGCCCTGCTTGAAAGACTGTGAAACTTTTCCTACACATGGAAAAGCTCCCCAGTCACCAGTGGGTCTCAAGCAAGGGGGAGCACAGCACAGAACTCTGACAGACTGAGGACCTCTCCAGACAGACCAAGGCCGAAAGCGCGCTCCCCTAGGAGTCCGCAGCACAGTGCACTCTCGAGCTGAGGGGGCAAGCACACTGCGCAGGCCCGGGCCCCGGCTCTGCAACACACGCGGCAGTCGTCCCTTACGGGCTCGGACACGTGCCTGCCACAGGTCACTCACCTGCACCTGGCTGCAGGACAGAGCCACCACATGCAGACAAACGGACATGGCTGCATTTAAACAAAACAAATGTAGCTATTTTCAAACAAAAACAACAGTGTACCACGCACTGCTGTAATGTACTTTGCAGATACATGACATGGTGATAAGAGCAGCAGGAGCAGGAGCTGGGGCTGGGGTGCACACCAGTAATCTCAGCACTCTGACAGGCAGAGGCAGGAGGATTCCAAGTTCTAGCACAGCTGGGCAATTCACCCAGACTCTGTCTCAAAATTAAAAAAAACATTTAACGAAATTCTGAAGAAGGACTGGGGATGTAGCTCAGTGTGAAGGCCCTGAATTCAATCCTCTATACTGGAAAAAACTGCAGGAAAGGCAAAGTGTACTACCATAAGATGCTCAAAATATATAAAAAGTGGTGATTTACGTGAAGGTAATCTGTGATAAATTCAAGATGCGCAGTAAAAACTCTAAAGCAACCACTAAAAATGAACTAATAAGCTAGTAAAGGAGATAAAACGGTTGCACAAAAAATAATTTTAGAGAAGACAGAAAAACAGCCACTGGGAAGGTGATACATTTAAACCTAACCACAAAAATTATGACAGAAACAAATGGTTTAAGCTTTCAATTATAGCAGAGACAGAGAAATGCAAGGTGTAACCACATGCTGTCAAAAAGCCTAACACAGGGTCAAAGCCAAGGATGGAAGAAGACAGATCCTGCAAGTAATAATACAGAGAGCTGGTGCGGTTACAACTACCAATTAACATTACAGGAGACTTCAGAGAAAGGAGCTCTACCAGGGACGCAGCCTGTCCACAGCGAGGGGCAGCAAATCACTAAGAACACATAATTCTAGGTGTACATGTGGCCAACACCAGGGTTTCTAAACACAAGAAACAAAGCATTAACGGCACAGGGAAATACCTCCACGATTACGGTTAGAGACTACAAGCCACCATGAGTACTTGGCAGAGGAAGCAGACAGACAGCACTAGACAGAAGAGACTGACGGACACTGACCTAACTGGCACGAGAGAATGCTCTGTGTAACATGAACACACTCTAACACCAGGCTGTCAAGCACACAGCAACTTGACAGAAACAAACCCCATGCTGGGCAGTAAAGCAAAGCCCAATAAATTTAACAGGACTGAAGTCACAAGCAGAACATACTAACCCTAACCCTAGCCACGAGGGAATACCACTAGGAACTACTAAAGAAACGTATTTGAAAAGAAACCTCTAACGGTGTAAGGTTGGGTGAAATACACCCAGATCATAACTTACACTCCCTGTCACGAAATTTAACCTTTTAAATATTTAGAATGTAAACAACACTTCTAAAAAACCCATGCAATGAAAACGAAATAACAGAAGTAAAAAATATTTTGACCTGAATTAAAATAATATATCCATTTGTGAGATACAGAGGAAAATTCAGTTTTCAATGCTAACATGAGAAGATACTTTAAGGATAAAATAGAATCTTCCTAAAAAGGAATAGTTCACTACTAAATTTTCCCAATTTGTTGAAATCAGAGACTTGTGGGCAACGACAATCTTGTATTACTCATGTACCAGGTACTCCAGTGTTGAAATGAATGAGTGCATCAGCCGCCAACGGGCAGCACAGACCTCTTAGTGGCAATGGTCTCCGCACTCCGCCTGATCCTCAGCACGGCCTGGTGGGTCAGATGCACCTGGCCACAGTCAAAAGCTGAGGGCAAGAAGAACTCGACGACTGCATTCACCTGCCACCACTGTTCAAGCCAGGCCACCTCAAGAGGAACTGCCCTAAGAAGCCCCCTGGGCCATGCCCTGAATGCAGAGGTGACTGCTGGAGATAGGTCTGCCCTCTGAAGCAGAGGCCCCAGAGCTCAGACCCTTGCTACCAGTTAGTCCAACAGGATGAGGGGGCCCGGGGCATATTCCGCCTTCTCCCTCTGACCAGACTGTCATCTCCAGGGAGGAGCCCCGGGTAATCACAACTATAGAGGATAAAGAAAACGGCCTGTTGCTAGACACAGGTGCAAGTCTCTCGGTCCTTCTTTTCAATCCTGGCCTTCCTTCCAGCCGTCACACCTCAGTGAAAGGAGTCACTGGTGAGGAGGTAATTCGCTATTTTTCACAACCCTTAGGCTGTAACTACTTGTTAGATCCTTCTTGCGTATCTCTGTCTTCCTGAGAAACCACTTTGAAGATACCACCATGTATTACAGCAGCCACTGATATTTTCCTACTAATCTGTCCATAACTCTGTAATGTTCCTATGCTATTTTGTAAATGGATGTATGTTTATTACTGTGTTTCCTACAACAACCACTGAGAATAATCAATAAATATTCAATTGGTCACTCATGTATAGCTCTATTTATTTTCTTTAGAAACCATTTAAAAAAAAAAAAAAACATTTTGAAGATACCAAAGTATAGTACAACCATTGATAATAACTTACCACTTTTGTCTGTAGCTCACTATTATTTGTGTATCTGTTTTCCTGAGAAACTATCTTGTAGATAACAATATGTAAAACAACCACTGATAATTTCCTACCACTTTGTCTGTAATTTGGTAAGCCCCCCTATTACTATGTTATCCTTCTTTTACTCTTTAAAATAATAATAATAAAAAAAAAGCTGAGGGCAGCTAATAGCCGTGCCCCAAACCTACTGTGAAACAATTACACAGCAAAGTGAATTCGGAGTACTCACTCATTTCTTCTTGTAGGGTTTCTTGCTTCTGTCTTTGAATTTTTATTTCTTGCTCCAAATCTTCTATCTTGCTGTTTTTATTAGTTAACTGTTGATTTAATTCTTTTGTCAAACGCTCATAGTCTGCTATTTCCATGTTCATCAGTGTAGTCTGTTGGGCGTCCTGCACATTTTATAGAAGATTCACAGATTACAAGTTTGGTTATTTTCACTTGTAAGATTGCTAAAATGATGCCACAGGAATAAACAGGTCCTATTATGTTCTTCATAAAACACAAATAGTGTAAGCACTAAGAACGAGAGGTTAGAGATTTTCTAGTTTCTAACTTCGTAGAATATTTTCTAACTGTTTAACTCAACTTTTTTAGGTTCACTGTATTGCATTATAACTTTTATTAACAACTGGCAGTGCCAGTCTTCTGGGGCTCTTTATTTGTGATATTTAAAATATTTCAGTATTTTAAGTGGCTCTTACTGTATTTTTCTTTTTAGCCTAATTTTTGGAAAAGCAGAGAAAAATCAGTCACAATTCTAAGAATAAGAGAAACTGCAAGCTTTGATAATAATTAAGCTTCCACGTGTCATACAATAATCACGTACAGAAAACATCATGCCAAAACTAATAACCCGAGCCTAGATTCTTCTGGAAACGGGCACTTAGAGAAGTAAGTTAGAGACCTCCATTTCCTGAGGCAGAGCCTACGAAGGGCCGTCTTAGCGGCCCAGACGACACCCACTGGTCACCCTCTTTAATGTAACGTACACCTAGCGGCTCAGGCACGCGAGCGCGCCGTCAGCTCTGCCTAGTGCTTCACTTTACCTTTTTAACCAGCTCGAGTTCCTGCATGGTTTTCTGACGCTGTTTCTTTTCCTTTTGAAGTTGCAGTTGAAGTTCTTCAAGCTCATTTATAGTACTGACATATTCCTAAAATTAAAAATAAAAGCCATCCTCATAATCCAACCAACATTAAGAAGGATCTGTTAGAGGCTATAAGATGAACCTGAAAAATGTAAGAAACATAAAAAGTTGGGTAATTTTTCAATGTTTCAAAAACATATGCCTCAAAAATCACAACTTGGAGTTTTAAACTTAGAACTGGAACGTGTTAAAGAATCAATGACCTCTGCTGTATTCACCAATACTACTTTTTGTTGAGACAGGGTTTCCCTATGTAGTTCAGGCTGGCCTTGAACTCACTTTGTAGCCCAAGCTGGCCTCAAACTTGCAGTGATCCTCCTGCCTCGGCCTCCTGAGTGCTGCCCTAAGAGTAACCTAAGGGTAACCCTAAGGGTAACAGGTGTGTGCCACCATGCCTGGCCACTAATCCTACTTTTTTAGAAATCCCCTCCCCTTTCTTAAAAGACAGGGTCTCACTATGCAGTCCAGGCTGGCTTTGAACTCGTGGCAGTCTTCCTGCCTCAGTCCCCTGAGTGTTGAAATTAAAAGCATAAACCACGTCCAGGTAGGAAGCCTTCTCTTTGTTCAAATATTTTGATAAAAGTATTACTGTATATGTGATCAATTTCACAGGATTGTGTTCACCTTTAGCTTCTGCTCTTTCTGAAGTTTTTCAGCTTCTAGTTCTTTGTCCACCACTGCTTTGGCTCTCTGGACCTCTAAAATCTGTACTTCTAAGAGCTTGGCATTGGACTGAAGTGTCTCAATACGGGCCAGGAGATCTTCATTATCGGAGTTTAATTTTTCACACTGGAATGACAAACGATTCATCACTGTAAACATGCAGGAAACATAGGTAGGAGAGGAAGAAAAAGTGCATTAAAGAGAATATTAGCATAGTGTAAAAACTGAAGATTTCACAATTAATTCCACAGAATGACAATGCTAAACCAAGGAGAAGTTTAATAAGTACCTCTGTCGATGCTAATACAGCAAACCTTACAAGAGACCAGATGTACCAGCAGAGCAAAATGGGGACAGGAAAGAACAAACACAAAATCTAGACGGAACACGCCCAGTTTAAAATTACCTGAAAAGTGGAATTTCTTAACTGTTTTGTAAGATCTTCCACGTGACGCTCAAAATTATCAGCACGTTCTTTTTCCATATCCAACTGCTCTGACTGTTTATCATATTCCAATAAAAGATTCTTCAACAAAGAAAAGATTTTACTTTAAGTTACTGCACATTCAATAGGTCAGACTATATAATCAAGCCCTCCTGATATAAGCTTTATGACTCCACTTGAGATGTTCATGAAGTATTTACACTGAAAATTATGAAAATGTAAATTTGAATACAAAAATGACACTAAACCATGAAAATGTAAATTTACATATGAAAATATGACAAAAGATCAGTGTCCTTAATATAAAGGAGGTCTTATAAATCCATCTTTGGGATCTGTGTCAGAGCTTACCCCCTTCCCCGATCTGTAACATCAGGCGCTGAGTCTGCAATCTAAGAGAACTTACCATCTCATTTATTAGTTCCCTCCACACATAGGTCAGGGTCAATCTATTAATTTTCTCCTTTGTAATTTCTTAAATTACTTTTAAGTTTTAAAGCCTTTTATACCCAGAAGTCAGTTAAAAGATGATTTCTAAAAAATTTTTCACAAAATACAGTACTTTGGTTCATCCAGAACTTAGTCTGCTGCACAAAGTGAAATAAAAACTTCATTAGTTTCCTTAAGTTGTTTTTTTTTTGAGACTGGGTCCTGCTATGTAGCGTACACTGCCCCTGAACTCACTTATATAGCCCAGGTTGGCCTCCAACTCATGGCAATCCTCCTGCCTCAGCTCCCACGTGCTAGGATTACAGGAGTGTGCCACCACCTTTGTAATTCCTTCTTCACTGACTTCTGTTTTTAGATGGCCCTGGTACAGCACAGCTCTGCTGGTGCAAGAACAGATCTGAACTGCTGCTACTGGCTCTGCACCCGAGGGTTTCCAGGCCTCACTGGACCGCACCCTTCCTCATCGCTGTTTGGTGGAGGGAGCGCTGAGCCGGCATGAAGGGCTTCAGAGCTTGCCCGGCACACTGGTTTGCTTCTGCGTTCATCTGCCTGATTCCTCCTCCGAATTTTCTCTTGTTATTGCAGTTCCTCAATAAATTTTAGTGTATGGTCTTTTCCACACCGAAGGCCAGGGGCTCAGGACTGCAGGCTGGCAGAGATCACCTGACTGACCGCCACCTACCACAGAACGGGACTCTGGCCAGCATGGAAACGGCCGCCGAGCGAGTTAAGTCCATGAAGGACGAAGTCACTGACCGGTGTGGCGGTTTCAGGCTCCATCTTTCTCACAAGCGTCTCATAGTACCGAGGCAGACGAGCACTGCACTGCCAAGCGACGCGCCTCCCTTCTCCTGTCAGACCCGCTGTTTCCGCTTCAGGCTTGCTTACTCAGCCAGGACAAGGACAGCCACTATCAGAGCCTAATAATATCCCATTATTAGGATATTCCCAAAGAGAATTTTATTTATAAAACACAAGAGTTTAGAGGCACCATGTAAAGGTTAGTCACCATGTAAAGTCAGGTATAGGGCCGGGGACATAGCTCAGTGGCACAAGCGCCTGCCTGGCAAGCACAAGGTCCTGAGTTTGATTCCTGTACCGAAACAACAAACAAACAAAATATCTCGGCATTGTATTTTGCTACCCTGTGAAAAGAAAAGGGGGGTACGAACACAGAGGAGTTGGGGTTGTCTGGGGGTCAGTGTTACACAGCCAGTGCATTTCCTACCTCACTAACCAGGACGCAGCTTACTACAAATCACCGAGTACCTTATAGCTCTCTGCTCCCTGAAGGAGGTCTCTCACCGACGCAGACAGCTGATCCTTTTCTGCCCGAACAGACTCGAGTTCTTCCTTTAGAGTCTGCGCCTATTTTAAAATACAGTAAAGTTCCCGCTTTTCAAAAACAGGAAATTCCTGGTTTTCCTAAAAAGTAAGATTCCCGAATCCTGCGCTTTTCCGTTGGCTTACCTCTTTTCTGCTAGAATCTAACTCTTTCCTTGCTTTCACAGCAACTAGTTTTATCTTACTTATTTTCTCCTCCTTTTCTTTGGATTCTTTTTCCAGATTTCCTGAAAAACAGAAAACAAAAGGATTATATATGAGGTCAGAAGAAAAAAAGGGACCCTACCTTCTTCTTTTAACCCCAGAAGCTAATTTTCCTTTTGGAATACAAAATCTGTAGCTTGAAATTACAATGAGCAACCACATTACTATTAGCCAGGCATAGTGGCACAGCCCTACGGAAGCACTCTGGGAGGCTGAGGCGGAAAGATGGCAAGTTGGAGCCCAGCCTGGGCAGCTTAGCTACTTAGTGAGACCTTGTTTCAAAGTAAAAATCAACAAGGGCTGGGGATACAGCTTAGCGGGAAGGACCTGGGTTCAACCTCCACCACACCTCCCGTAAACCAACCAACCACACATTAGTATCTTCTTTTCAAAACGAAAGTGTGGCAAACAGTGTTAAAAATTTTCATTTTTAAAATTCTTACAACAGGCCTACTTTATTTTCTAGAGACAGGGTCTTGCTATGTAGTCCAGACTAGTCTCGAACTGGTGGCCACCCTCCTGCCTGAGCCTCCTGTGCACTGGGTGGCAGGCCCACAGCACCACGCCCAGCTTACAACAGCCACTTTAAGAGCATGTCGCCAGTGTCTAGGAGTCGCAGAGCTTGTCAGGACTCCTCTACTGGCATGCTTCCCACGAACACCCGTGTCAGGGCGGCAGGTGGTGGTCTGTGAGCCGGGACCAAGCACAGAGGGTATCAGACGCAGCTAAATATTTACATACTCTCCTTCTCTTGGCGGATCTGGTTTTTACAACTAAACCTGTAATATGCTTGACCACCTCCTCCCACTCTGGTCTCCACTCTTAACCTCCTACTCGAGGGCAGCGGGCAGGACTTCCCTCAGCGTGCGCCTGCATCTCTGCATGCCTGACAGTCTGCGTGTGCGTCGGGCCTGGCCTAGCCCGCCTTTCATCTCGAGCCTCCTCCACTCTCCTGCACCAGAGCAGCACTCCCCCGACAGCGGAGAGGCAACAAGACAACTACAGGCAAGAACTCAAGGTCAGGAACAGACGGGAAGCATGGAGGCAGCTAACGAGGGCATGGAGGCAGCTAACGAGGGCATGGAAGCAGCTAACGAGGGCATGGAAGCAGCTAATGAGGGCACGGCTCTTGATTTGCCTGTTTTTTTTTTTTTTTTTCTTTTCTTTTCTGGTCCAGGGTCTCACTATGTAGCCCAGGCTGGCCTTGAACTCATGGTGATCCTCCTGCCTCAGCCTCCCAAGCAGTAGAATCACAGGTTTAATCATCCTGTTTACAAACAAACAACATATTGCCCCGCTCCTCTTTTAGAACAAATCCCTTCAGAGTCATCCTTATCTGCTCTGAAACTTGCCCTCCCCATGTTTCCAAGAACCCACTGCAAGCATGCTCTGGCTCTCGGCACCAGGATAACGGCCTCATACTGCCAGCCCAGGGCTGGCGGTGCCCGCCATGGTGACACCCTCACTGCCTCCACCCTAACTCCCGGGACACAGCTCACCCCAGGCCTCCCCACCGCAGGCCGCCCCACTTCCGTCTCCTTGCTGTCCCCCTCGTCTGAGGACGGAGAACCGTCTCTGGTTCCCGCCTTGCTTCTACGCGGGTTTGGTGATGCCACTCTCACTGCCTTTTGTTCTGTTTTGCTTTTTGAGACAGGGTCTTGCTATGTAGTTCAGCTGCCCTTGAATTCACTACGTAGCTCAGGCTGGCCTCACACTGGCAGTGATCCTCCTGCCTCAGCCTCCCGGGTGTGCAGCACCATTCCAGACTTTCTCATGGCTACTTAATGACGTTGCTGTAGTTCTTCCTCTTCACATTTACACAGCAGCCCACCTAACACCTCGATGTGAAATGCCATCCAAACCAATCTGTCGAGAACATCCCCCCAACCATTCCAGAGAGCTGGGTGCTAACTGCAATTTCACGTGCACCACACTCCTAAGTCCTCGTTTCTCCATTTTCAAATGGGAACGAGACAGATCCCATCATGTCACTGTGGACAGCAAGCGGGCAAGGGTCAGATCACGGTCACACCAGCGCACCCCCACTGGGGCGCCCTCCCCAGGACCCGTGCGGCACACTTCTTGGTGCTGCAGATGTGAAAACAGAGACCTGCTGTTCTTCCAGCCTCGGGCCTTCTTGTGTCACATTTTGCATTCTTTAAGACCCAAACAAAGACCCTACTCTGTCATACTTTTCCTAACTCAAAACAGGCAAGCCAGGTGTGGTGGCGCACACCTGTAATTCCAGCACTAGGGAGGCTGAGGCAGGACGACTGTTGCGAGTTCAAGGCCAGCCTGGGCTACATGGTAAGACCATCTCAAAAAACAAAAAAACCCTGGAACTCCGCCCTCTGGCTCCCCTTTGCAGTGAGTTGAGCATGCGACCTTCGTCACTTGCCTCCTCTGCCAGTGTCTAGGGCAGCCCGGCACTCAGATCACGCCTCTCAACGGGCGAAGTCCAAAATCATCACAGACCACCTAGAGATGGAGCCACAGCAGCGTGGTGTGCACGTTAAATGGCAGAAGGGGCACCGAAGGGGAGCAGAGGGTAGAGGGCAGTGGGGGTGAGGAAGATGCTGACTTCCTGCGTCTGCACCATCTGTCACATGGCCGCTTACCCTCCAATCTATTCTAGCACTAACCGCGTCTGTCTAATGAATGGTGACGACATATATAATACCATAGTTACCTATTTTCTCTTCCATTTCTTTCACTGAAGAAAGGTGATCATTTTTTACAGGTGATTTCTCTAAGGAATCCTAGATTTTACAGGAGAAATGAAAACAAAAACCAATTCATTTCATCTCCATGATGAACTGGTCATCATTTGAGACACAAGAAATGCAGTCTTTTCCTTTGGTTGACAAGACTGAGCAACACTAACCTTGTCATGTACATGGCACATGCTATAAAAAAGCAGTAGTTCCCAGGGCCAGATGAAAAGATCTTTAAAGAAAATCCTGATTGTACCCAAGGCAAAATACCACTAGAGCTCAGTTCTTTGCTCATATCTAGACCCAGACATTTAAACCCCTAATCATTTAAGCTCAAGATTTTAAAATGATCTACACCTCCCAAATGACCGACGTTAACAAGCACGGTATGTACCATGAAAATGTTTAATGCATTTTTCACGTATTTGCCACTTGAGCTTAAATGTTAAAAATTTACTTCTGGTTTCAAATTGTAAAAATGTTAATTTATATTTTTTCCAGAGTCCATCACCAGAATTAAGAATTTGAATCAATAAAAAGTAACAGTACCTTTAATGACAACAGCTCTGCTCTTACATCTTGCAACTCAGCTTCTTTCTGTTCCAGTAATGGCCTTAGGTCTTCCTGTTCTGGTATAGGTTTTTCATCATGGACTTCAGTTCTGCCGTGTAATACACGAGATACTTCCTCAACTTGAATTAAAAGATTGTGATTTTCAAGCCTCATTTTCTCACTAGCGTTCTTTGCTTCTAAAAGATCTAAATGCAAAGCCTCTTTTTCCGACAATACTCCTTTTAACTCCTGCCGTAAGAGAACTGTCTCCTGCTCAAAGTCTCTTAGTAAGGACTTCAGTTCTTCACATTGATCAGCCTTTTCTTGAAGGCACTTTGCTTCTTTTTCTAGTTCTAACACCCTTTCCACATACTGCAAAGCCAAGTTATGGCTTTCTTCCTTTACTTTTGCTAAGGACTCACCTACAGCTTGTAGGACAAGTCTGATGTCGTCGTCTTCTTCTGAAACACTGGAGCCCATTTGTTCAAGAAAACCATACAGCTGAGTTTTAACAAGTGACTTCTGAACTTGCTCATTTTCAAACAGTTTATTTAAGTTATCTCGCTCTTCAACTGTTAACTGCAGTTTCTTTTCTAACTCACTAAAGTGTTCGTTTAGGGGAAAATCTTCTTTTTGAGACAGAAGAGCTTCCACATCCCTACTCAACTGGTCCTTTTCAGAACACAGCCTACTGTTTTCCTCATCAAGAGACCTCACTTTGGATGACAATGCTTCTTGGTCTTTAGAAATAGCTTGCATTTGAACCGTAAGTTTTTCTAGTTTTTGGTCATTTTCATGCTTTTCTTTTAAAGTCTCGTCCAGTTTTCCTGTTAATTCATTTACCTGTCGTTCGAGCGCACTGCTGCGCTGGGCGGTCTGTGCTTCCTTCTCCCGAAGTTCTTTGGCCAAGCTTTCCTCTCTTTCACACTTTCTGTGCAGACCATCTATCTCTTCATGAGAACTTTTAATTTTACTTATGAAACCCTCTTTTTCCTCTGTAAGAGAACGTATCCTGGCTTCTAACTCTTGTAACATCATGTCTCTTTGACTGAGACCGAGTGAGTACACTTCATTCCTTTCTTGAAGGCTCTTTACGGTATTTTCAAGTTGAGATACTAATTCTTGTTTAGATAGTAACTTTTCATTTTCTCCCTGGAGATGATTCACAGTTTCAAGAAGAGCATCTTTCTCATTAAATGCAGTCCTAAGCTTCTGCTGAAGTTCATGAACATCAGATGCTTGCTGTTGCTTCATTGATTCAAACTCTTGACTTATTTTTCCAGCAGATTCTCCCAGTTCTGTCTGTAAAATTTCCATAATCTCACGCAAACTCTCATAATTTAATATTGCTTCTTGCTTTTCTTGTTGAAGGTTTTCACACTGTTCCTTAAGACCCTGTATTTCAAACAGTAGTGCTAATTTTTCTTTTTCTGAACCTGACAAAAATGTCTCATTTAGTTCTGATATTTCTTTTTGATGCTGTTCCTTGAGACTCTGCATTTCTTTTTTATGTTGTTCTACGGCACAACCAAACTGTTTATTTAAATCTTCTAGCTCATACTTTAATTTTTCTATTACACAGCCCTGCTCCTCTTTAGCTAGTAACAGTTCATTAATTTTAAATTCCAGGTCTTCTCGTTCATGAAAAAACTCATCCTTTATGTGCTGGGCATCCATTTCAAGTTTTAATTTAAGATTATTCATATAAGTTACCTCATCTTTTAAGATACTATATTGAGATTCTAGTTCTTTTAAGGAATCCTCTAAGTATTTGGTTTTTGCATTTACTACTTGTTCCATAAAAGTATCTTCCTGGAAGAGGACAGGACCCCCTGGGTGGTCTGCGTTTGCACCCGAGGTGGCTTTCCTTAGGTTTTCCAATTCACATTCGTATTTCTTGTGAATGGTCTGCTCACTGGCCTCACACTGTTTCACCAAGTCCTCCTTCAGCTGGTTTAACTTACCTATTTCTGCTTCATGTTCTTTAGCTGATGCTTCAATCTGGTGTGTCAGTTCTTTCACTTCTTCTTGCAAACGATTAACCTCTCTTTGGTACTGCTGGGAATTTGCCTCCATGACTGCTTGGAGGTGGGTCACTGCTTGCTTCTTTTCATCAGTGGTGGCTTCTAACTGCTTTTGCAGATAGGAAATTTGTTCCTCAAAGGCTGGCCTCAATTTTTGGATCTCTTCTTGCAGTTTTTTAACATCACTTTCAGCGCTACTCTGAAATTTAAGTTGTTCTGAAAGCTCTGCCTGTTTATTTATTGCTTCTTCTAGCTCCTTTTGTAAGCCAGCCTTATCTTCACTGTGTTTGGAATGTACTGTCATCAATTCATTTTTCAAATTTTCAATTTCCTTCACATAGTTTCTGCGTGACTGTTCAAAGTCCTTGTGTACATCTTCCATTTTAGTTACAGAGTCCTATTACAAAAATAAGCACAAATCACTTGAATGAGACAAAGGAACCCGCACTCAGGAAAGACATCAGCCACAGCTCACCAGAGAGCCGAGGAGATGAACAAGACCTGCGCAAGTGGTGCTGAGAGTCCAGGCATTAAGCATAGGCTCTGCCCAGCCACGTACACGTGCAGCACCACAGCTGTTAAAAGGAGTAACTGAGAATTAGAAAATTCTGATTTTTTTTTTTTTTTTTTTCGGTATTGGGAATCAAACTCACAACCTTGCGCTTGCCAGGCAGGCGCTGTGCTGCTGAGCTAAATCCCCAGCCCCTTATTTTTTTCTTTTAAAAGGTAATAAATCTGTGCAAGTCATAAAGCTTTAACTGACAACACCTGAACAGACCAGGAAAGATTAAGAAAAAGATCAGCCCACACCTAACAGGCAAGAAAGTAGAAATATGCTACTGAATGTCCTAGAGCTGAACAGATAAAGTTATTTAGAGTCACACGAACACCTGATGTGGTAGCGCGTGCCTGTAATTCCAGCACTCGGGAGGCTGAGGCTATGAGTTCAAGGCTAGCCTGGGCTATATAGTGAGTTCAAGGCCAGCCTGAACTGCATAATGAGACCTCATCTCAAAAAAAAGAAGTTACATGAAATCAACTTACTCTTTTCATTTTTATTAAAGAATGACAATGTGGCTTTTAGAAAGATTAAACAATAAACAATAGCTCTTTGTGTAAGTGAATAATTTGGTTTTTTTTTTTTTGGTCTTTTTGAGATAGGGTCTTGCTATGCAGCTCAGGTTGGCCTTGAGCTCACTTTGTAGACCCGGCTGGTCTTGAACTCGCAACGATCCTTCTGCCTCAGCCTCCTGAGTGCTGGGATTATAGGCGTGTGCCACCACGCCTGGCTAATTTCAGTTATTTTTAAATCTTCATTTTTTCTTTTATAATATGGTAAAACTGTATTAGATGCTTTCTGAGGTCTTAGCTTAAATTACAAGTACAAAAGAATATAATAAATGTTGCCTTACTTCAACTTCCTGCTTCATTTTAACATTTTCCTTTTTCAGAGAAAGACACTGCTGCTCAGTCTCCGCTTTCTCCAGAAGAATGGCGTCCAGGCGCTCAGTCAGTGCCTGTTTCAAAACAGCAAGATTTGCTTGCATGAGGTTAAAAATGGTGGCTTGACCACACACATAATTATCTCCTCACCATTTCTAAACCCTGCTGAGGAAAGAATAATTCAAAAAGATATGAACAGAACAAAGAGAAAAGGAGAAAAGACATGAGAATATGAGCAAGTGCAATACATTTTGGAAAGCTGAATTGAAAGAAGAATAAACTAAATCAGAACAAGAAAAGGCTATAGTGTAAGGGCCTGTATAGGCAGGAATGTAGAGAAACAGGCCAAGACTCTCCAGGAATAAAATGCTCAGCAATGGGAGATACCAGGGGCTGTGGACATAGCTCAGAAGTAAGTGCTTGCCAGTATGCATGGAGCTCTCAGGCTGAATCCAGCACTGAAAGAAAGAAGGTTAAAAAAAAAAAAAAGGAATCCAAGGTAACAAGTGCTTCAAGGAGGAATAATGTGTGGATCCAGAAATGGGGACTGGCTGACAATCTGAACAGGGAGAAGCCAGAAGAACAAGCAGGCTAAAGAGACCATCAGGAATAAGTATTTATCAGAAATACTGAAAGCTCAAGTAAGACAGATATACATTCCTGGACAAATGTTGCTTTACTGACTCAAGGAAAAAAAATATGGTAACCAAATGCGGTTAAAAATTGCCAAAAAAATAAAGAGGGACAGACAGTTGTACAGGTGAGTTCTATCAAATTTCCAGAGGATAAGCTTATGCCAATTTCGTGTGAATTTGTCCGGACAAAATAGAAGCAAGAATAATTTCTAAGATAGCCTACAAAATCAGAAACCAACAACCTAGCACTTTACAAAAAGGAAAAATAAAAGACCCATTTTACTACAAATCTAGATGCAAATATTGTAAATAAAACATTAATTCCCCCACTACCACTTCTAATTAAGACTGTACCAACTCAGGAGGCTAAGGCAGGAGGACTGCATGTGCAATACGGCGAGACACTGACTCAAAGAGGAGGTGTATCAAATACCCTCACTAGTGAAATAAAGCTTATGAAAGAGATGAGAAATAAAGATTAAAAAAGACTGACATTACTTAAAAGACTGATATTGTTTATCAATGATATGATTATACAAAAAAATCAGAAGCATCTATAGGTAATTAGAAAGTGAGTTTCATGAAGTCTCTAGATGTTAAGATTAATGCACAAAATTTGTTCTGTTTTATTTACTGCTAACAAACAAGAAAACCTAAAAAAGGACATCATTTATAATGGCATCAAAGAATATGAAGAGTGTAAGCATAGCTATGTACTTTGTCATTATCTCCTACAGCACAGCCTTTATGTAACTTTTCACGCTGCAATTCCACTCATTCACCTCTGAGAACCCTTTAAATCTTTAGAGATGCATCTGATCAGTCCACAGCACTGTACTCCACTGCACAAGCCTGGCACAAGGCCAATGCCCACCCACAGTCCTTGAAGGAACAGCATCTGGGCAGTAAACCCAGACTTCTACAGCCGTCCTGGTGATGTGCGATGACACGGAGGAAAAACCTTGTTCCAAACAACACGGCACCCTTTTAATGAACGTTAAAAGCTAAAATGGAAAAAACAGTATTTTTATTTATAGAAAATGAGGCTTGGCGTTTTTTAAGTTTATTCTTCTTTCAATTCAGCTTTCCAAAATGTATTATTGAGCTTTCTCATATCCTCATGTCTTTTTCTCCTTTTCTCTGTTCTGTTCATATCTTTTTGAATTATTCTTTCCTCAGAAAAAATGAGGCTTTCTGAAACAGGGTCTCCTTACACAATTCAGGATGGCCTTGAAACTCATGGCACTCCTGTCTAGGCCTCTGGAGCGCTGGGATTACAGATGTGTGCTATCACACCTGGCAAAGCAGTATCTTTAAGTGATGCTCACAGATGCAATAAAACCTTACACAAGGGGAGGAAGGCGGGATTCAGCGTAATGGTTACGCTGGGTGTGGAAACTAGTGGAGTAGGCGGACAATGGGCAGAGATGACACAGAAAATGTAGATCACTTTCAAAATCACAGCTGTTTATTTTCACAGATGATCACATTAAAAGTAAGTGAATGTGAAGGAAACAGGTAATGGGAGAAAACCAGAAGTAAGCTTTTAAGACAATACGAGTTTACTTCCTCATAAAGATAGAACATGTGGAATCTTAAGACGCATGAAAAAAAGAATATTCAAATGTCAAGAATGAGCTCTGTGATATTAAGTATTTAAACCCCAAAATAAAAACTTGAACATAGTGGTGGAAAAATGAAGCCACTGACATCTCTTAGACAAAGCAGATAACTGGAAGGGAGATTTGCTCTAGATGAGGGTCCCAAGAGGCTCCGCTCACCCTTCAGCCTCTACAGCACTGCCTCCTGGCCGCCACTAGGTAGATGCCGGGAGAACTAAGTGCTAACACCCAGATCTCCCAGGGCAACAGGATGAGGGCGCAGAAGTCCAGGGGGCCTGTGCCCTGAGGACACCAACGGGAGACAGAACCCACCCGAGGGGTGCCGACCTCTGATTTTCGTAGGTGAAATTCTGCTATAACACTGTTGCTTAAGAAAGTGAAAATAAAGCAGGTGGAGAGAGCTTTCGAGTTCTACACCAAACTACAGCTATAAATCAAACAGAGTAAACACATTTTAAAATCTAAAGCAACACGAAAACTGACCCCCCAAGCGTTCTTTCCTAGGAAAACTGCGGAAATGAGATGATCAACTCAGACAGCGAGCAACAAGGGACCCAGCCAGCGGGGCTACACAAGAAGTGCACGAGTGCACAGGGTCACTACCAAAGGCCACTTCCAGGAGAGCACCACTTGCCAAGCCAGGGCAGGGAGACAGAAGGCTCCAGAAGGTAGGAAAGCCATACAAATGGAGCCATGCCCTGTGACTGACACAGGAAACTGGAGAGCAAAAGCGTCTCTAAAGTTGCCAGGCATAAAAACTAGTGGTGCTGCTGGCCAGCCAGAGGTGGAGACTGGTCACGTGAGGCTGAGGATTTTCCCCAGGCAGCTCGAGATGTAACTGTCAGCTCAATATCCACAGTTGTGACCAGGGATATGGATCTATAGGTCTGTCTATAGGGTCTACAGGTACCAGTACTGCAAAGCACTGAAGTTCCCAGAGTGGCAGGTTTCCTGAGGGCGACAGGGCAGAACAGGAGAGAGACCAAGCAAGGACCACAGTTAGGGAGCATGTGGGCAGAAGATGAGATCGAAAACACCCTGCAGATAGAGCTCTGGAGTCGTTAACAGTGAAATACGAGGATAAAAATTCTCATCGAGGTGAGAGAGGAAGGCGTAAAGCCAGACAGAAAGCCAAGTAATCTCCAGCAGGCTGAGAGCCCTCAAAAAAACTCTAATCATCAGACATTTCCTCTAAGTCAAAAAATAAACAACATTCACAGCCACTTCATTACCTTAATAATATCATCACTTCCTCCATCAACAGGTTTTGATTTGAGTTCATCAATTTCTTTTTCCAATTCTAAGGAAAGATTTCAGTTCAGAAGTGAAAAATAGAAAATAGTACTAGCTAAACTGTTAAGTACATTCTAAAAAACCTCCAAAATCTATAAATTAGAATATATTTATGCAGCAGATACTTTGACAAATATTAATTTCAGCCACAGGATGGTATTACATTTTCTTTTCCTTTTTATTAAGGAACACTTCAAACAAAAAAGTAGAGAAAATAGTGATTACTGATGAATCTCTATGTGCCCATCACTTTGCTTCCACAATTATCACCTGGCCAATGTGGAATCGTACTAAGCTGTACTTTCTCCTTCTTCTCCTTTCTTAATCACCCTTCTAAGTTTTGTTTTCCTTTTTTTTCCTGAGATGGAGTCTTGCTATGTTGCCCAGGCTGGCCTTAACCGCCTATGCTCAAGTGATCCTCCTGCCTCAGGCCCCTGAAGTGACAATGTGTCCAGCAACCCTGATAACTTTGAAGTGAATCCCAGACTATTATTTTCAGTTGTAAATACTTCTTACCTATAATCTTAACTAACCTCTTATTAAACTTAAATGTTAATCTAGATATTTCATCATACCTAGCTCTGGAGCCTAGAACATCTTTCCAAATAAATTACTCTTAAATACAAGCTGAACGAACTTCCAAAACATGATTTGATCTTTTTTTCTGGCAGAAAGTCTTAGATTTTAGGCAGGGCAGTTAATATGTTTAAGGCACTAGAAATTATTAACAAAGGACAGGAATATCTTTTTCTTATTGGAATAATAAGGGAACTGAATAGAGAATCAGCTTCCTACCGCAGTGGCAATACTTCATTACTTTACTTGAGAATTTTTATTATGTCCTTGCGTTTAAAACTTTGTTCCTCTCACTTCAACTGACTCCCCTAGAAAACATCCTTAACTGAGAACAATCTACAACGCACATGAAGGAAAAAATGCTTTAACTTTAGGAAGTTGTTTTTTTAAAAATCATCTTTCCTAACTTTAACAACTCGGAGGGAGCTAGTTTAGACATGAGAAGTCATCGGTAAATGGTTAGAATGTTAAGATCCTAGTACAATGACTAAGATTCACTTGAAACCACAAGAAAATAAAAACAGGCCGTCACTACTTAAAGAACTACCACGTTTGGCCAAGATGAGTATTTCTGACCCAATACCTGTACACGTTGATTTAGCTTTCTGTAATAGCATCATCTGCTTCTTGGCGAACTTGATGAGATCTTCTTTGGGCAGGGTCTCCAGCTGCAAGATGTTACCAACTTGTTATAATTCATTCTTGTAAAATGCCACAAAAAGAAACAATGTCCATCTAAAAATCAAGACACTGTGCAAAACAAAACTTTATTCCAACCAAATACCACACCTTTGTTCCATATTTCTAAAACTTAGCAAGTCCAACTTCAACTCAATAGCTATTAGTGGTCAAAAATCAGCACAAAATCTTTAACAGATACTAATGGAAGAGACTGACATTTCCCAGGTTTAATTGGACAATTAGAGGTCGGAACTAGCACCAATTAAAAGCTGTAAAATTCATTTTATTCCAAGCTGAAAGTTGTCTCTGGCTCTGTGAAAACTTAAGCATAATTACAGCAATGAGATGAATCAGGTAACATTTAGGTTCTAGCTAAAAACTTAGGCTTTATCAATTTTGCAAATTACTTCACCTGTGTGGGCTGTTTTCTCACCTGTAAAATGAGAACAGCAGCGCCCACCTCAGGGTTACTAGGATCCTTAAGTGCAGGAACTGACTGGGCAAGCGCCTGAAACAGCGTTTAAACAACAAACCCGAGCAATAAGCCAGTACGGTCTGGAATCGCTGAGCAATAAACCTGAGCAGTACGCCGCGATCACTCGCGATCGTTCGGCGGCAAGCCCTGTGCGGGGCCATGAGAGCGGCCTGGTTCAGCTCTCCTTTCCGTCCTGCTCTTTCCGCCTCACCACACTTACACCTCCAGAAACGACCCTGCCTTACGAGGGTGCGAGACACTGCAGGCTGTGTTTACCGTCGGAAAACCGGCAGTGCCAACCAGGCGCGGGAAGTAAACAAAGCGCGTCCCTACCGGGAAATGTAGAAGGAA